AGGGATCCTGTAGTTGCCGGAGCTCCTACAGTGTTGGCTGTGATCTTCTGGGTTCTGTATGGCGGTGAGCAACCTCCCTCTCAGGGGGTCACTCACTTGGCGCAGCAGCCATTCAGCAGACACATAGTATTGTTATCATTGGATTCTAGGACGAGGGGTGGATTGTGAGGTCACCATCCCTCGTCCAATCCGAGAACACCTTGTATTCCTTGATAAGTCTACAATGGCTGAATGGCCACTGTGCCGAGCAAGCCCTTGCGTTTTCAGAGCAGACCGGACGTCAGTCAGCACAGCGGACATTCAGGGGGCGCCTAGCATTTTTATCAGTAAACACAAGGCATTCGCTGATTGGATGAAGGGTGATGACATCACAGTGCACCCCTCGTCCAATCAGAGAACATCTTGTATTTACTGATAACCATACAATGGCTGAATGTTCCGCTGGATTGAGCGAGCCCTTTTATTCTCAGAGAAGATGGGAAGTTGCTTGGCAGCAGCCATTCTGAGAGCCTAGTATTTTCATCAATGAATACGACGTTCTCTGATTGGACAAGGGGTGAATTGAGATGTCACTGCCCCTTGTCCAATCAGAGAACACCTTGCCTTAGCACAGCACCATACAGGTATGACCTATACATATTTACATCAGGCCAAGATAGATTAATGTAATTGATCACCCTCCTCATTGGCTAACTTCTACACAGGCTATTCCCCCTTCAGTCTATCATAATTGCTGCTGCTAGACTCATTCACCTAACCAACCGCTCAGTGTCTGCAACCTCCCTCTGCCAATCCCTCCACTGGCTTCCATGCCCCACCTCTCTCTGCCAATCCCTGCACTGGCTTCCAACAGCCCAAAGGATAAAATTCAAAATATTAACAACCACTTACAAAGCCATCCACAACTCTGCCCCCGCTATATCTCAGACCTTGTCTCAAAGTATCACCCGAACAGTTCCCTCCGCACTTCCAAAGACCTCCTGCTTTCCAGCTCCCTCGTCAACTCCTCCCATACTCGCCTCCAGGACTTCCCTAGAGTCTCTCCCATCCTCTGGAACTCCCTATCCCATCCGTCTATCTCCTACTCTGTCTGTCTTTAGGTGATCCCATAAGACTCATCTCTTCAGGGAAGCCTATCCCACCTCAACCTAACCACTGAACCATCACATCTCAAACAATTCCTCCCCACACCTTCTCATGTATCACTTCCCCCTCCCTCTTAGATTGTAAGCCCTCACGGGCAGGGCCCTTCTTTATATCATCCTTTAAGGCCCCCTTCACCCTTTTGCAGTGCGTGAACGTGCATCACATTTGTGCACATTGGCGTGCGCTTTTGCCGGCGTTGCTGCGTTTCAGCCCATTCATTTCAATAGGCTTCTACACACGGGACAACATTTTGAGCTGTAAGCTTCCCAAGTTTTGTGGCCACGCAATTGACCTGTGTCCACGTGCGGGTAAAATGTAGTGTTTTACTGGTGGCATTTGGGGTGCCATTAATAAGTAATGGTGCCACAGGCGCGATGCACGTTCTTAACACGTTGCGTGAACGCACACCAGAGCATGGGCACTGGTTTGCATTCAGTGTACAGTGTTGTACTCTAAGTAGCCGAGTTCAGAACGCCTTTCAGATGGAGGTTGTGTGGACTCAGAGCTCCAATCATATGGTAATCAGGGGCCACTTTGATCTCTCTGTACAGGGCAGGAACACAAATGTAATCAGTGATTTATGGTGTGAGTGGGGGGCAATTAATTATGTATATGGAGTAACTTTCACTGTGCATTAGCAATGCATTTCTCTAGTAGGAGCCCATTAGAGGGTCTGTAAATAAGCAGATTATCAGAAGAAAGGGCCCCGGGCTGTCAGAGTAAACTGTGAGGGGCCCCTATTACCATATGACTCCATACACCGCCCATCTGTACCTGGGGGACTGCTGTAAAATGTGCTCTGATCTGTGACATTTGTGACTCTTTAGATTATAACATTGTATCTCTTTTTCTATTTTTTAGGGGTATTCAGGTAATGAACATAATGAGTTTTATGTCAGTGGAATAAACCTGAACCCCCCCCCCTTTCGGCTATTATATTCTGACACTGGCGCGCGGCAATTTTTTTGGGGGGATATAGAGGAGAGAGCGAGGAGAGGCAGCCTGGAGAGGGAGTAAGGAGACCATCTATAGAGCACTACAGCAATATATTATAAAGCAATCCAAAATGATATGACGCTACATACAATGTGTTGTTCTGAGTTGGCACCCTGATGTATCCAGGTGGCCTGTGAGGGCTCTCAGGACGGGCTGTGCGGGCTCTCGGATGAGCTGTGTGACTCTCAGGTGTGCTGTGCACTCTCAGGTCGGCTATGGGACTCTCAGGTGGGCTGTGGGCCTCTAAGGTGGGCTATGCCACTCTTGGGTGGGCTATGCGCCTTTTAGATGAGCTGTGCCCGTCTCTCGTGGGCTGTGTGCCTTTCAGGTGGGCTATGTGACTCTCAGGTGGGCTGGTCCACTCTCGGGTGGGCTATGTGCCTTTCAGATGAGATGTGTACCTTTCTGGTGGGCTATGTGACTCTCAGGTGGGCTATGTGGCTCTCAGGTGGGCTGTGGGCCATGCCACTCTTGGGTGGGCTATGCGCCTTTCAGATGAGCTGTGCACCTCTCTTGTGGGCTGTGTGCCTTTCAGGTGGGCTATGTGACTCTCAGGTGGACTTTGCGACTCTCAGGTGGACTTTGCGACTCTCAGGTGGGCTGGTCCACTTTTGGGTGGGCTATGTGCCTTTCAGATGAGATGTGCACCTCTCTGGTGGGCTATGTGACTCTCAGGTGGGCTATGTGGCTCTCAGGTGGGCTATGTGGCTCTCAGGTAAGCTTTGCGACAATTAGAGGGGCTGTGCACCTCTCAGGTGGGCTATGCCACTCTCGGGTGGGCTATGCGCCTCTCAGGTAGGCTGGTGAGCTTTGGTGTCTCACCAGGGATACGGAGGCGGGCAGCACAGTGTCAGAGAGCTGGAGGAGGAGAAGGCGATGTGTGGGCAGCCTGTGCCTGTTTACAGGTGCCCGCAGCTCAGGCGAAGGTCCGGTTTCAGGTAGATGCACCTGCCCGAGATCACGCTTGCCGGGGACCTCGGCAGCCGTATCAGTAGGAAATGTTGAAGTGTCGCTGTCGGCACTGAGTGTCTTGTGTCCTCTAACTGGACACCCGGATCCAAGACTCAAAACCGGACGGGTGGCAACCCAAGCTGTCAGAATGCCTGAACAGCTACTGCAGATATTGAAGCCAAAAAAATGAGTGTGACAGCCAGGCAACCAGCACGTTGCAAAATGAGTGTGACAGCCAGGCAACCAGTCTGAGCAATCGGCAATGGCTTTCTCCATATTTCTCTCATGATAGCTGCACTTTACAGGAAACCTGTCATAAGATAAATTTGGGGGCTGCCATTGCTAACTAAAAATGTTAATTGTCTTGCTGCCATGCTACCTACAATACTTACTACATCACCAACCGCCGCGACCGACAACAAGTATGATTCTCAGGAGTTTAGCACTCTGACATAACTGATTGTTCGCAGGAACAGACCAAAAAAGAGGCTCTCCATCTGAAGACACTAGTAGCTGCTCATATACTATATATACTGTATATGTCATTTAAAAAGCTGGTTTTGGTTTTAAATCTGCAGCTTTCATTGAAAGAATATCCAGTGATCCCACCATGACGGTCCTTCTTCGGAATGTCCGGTGATGGGGTGACAACCGCCTTTCAATGACGCTCGTGTTGTCACCTGCATATGGAGACCAGAAACAGAATGGTCCACAGCTGTCACAATGAGTGACAATTGAGTGACTGATGCTGGACTGAGCGCATATAGACAGGAAGTGGCTGGAGGAGATCAGCAGCACTGGGATGCAAAAGAGGACAAAAAAGGTATTTTATGAAAACAAAAACATTTTAAGCAGTGCTTTAGTGTAATAAATGTCATTGTGATGCAAAGCTGATCTGCACCTCATGCAGTTCCCCACGATGCACCAGTGCAGTCATCTGTTGATAAAAAAAACTTTCCCAAGCTCTTGGGGGAGTCTTATGAATAGATGAGCGTATTGCCGCACAGCACATGCGTGAGAAAAACCACATGACATCATGCGCCTCATGCCAATACACATCTGTTGGTCAAGAACATTAAAACGTGCACAAGCAAGTAGGGAAAAAGCGCGGTATGCCTGTAGCAGATTTTGCTACATGAGTTGCTTTCCTGCTTTTGACACGCATGCGGCACTCATTGAAATCAATGGGGAGGCGTGGCAAACGCGAGAAAAAAAAGCACACGAGCACGCTGGAAGGTGACCCGCTTTCCCAGTATGCCACGGTGTGAACAGGTTTTTAAGGTGAGTAAATGCAAATATCTTAAAGTGGTCATTAATATGATATATAGATATATTATATTTTCTTGTTATTGGATGCTGTATGGTAATATTTATGTAACATATTGTGATATTATGTAACATTTATGTTAATATTAAATAAAAGCCTTTGATTCCCACTCGAGTCATTTTTCCTGGTGCTCACATATCTTCCAAGTGACTCGCAAAGAGCGCGGTGACTCTCCCTTCATGTCGTAATTAATTGGTAAACAAAGTGCAGCTTAATCTCTTCACTTCTTGCTAAAATGTCAATTTGCATCCTTAAGATCTATCCAGCTTTCCTCCTTCCCCTCCCCTCCCCCCCTCTTCCCCGTCCTTGTTTATTGAAAGACAATTTAGCTGAGAGCTGATAATTCCCAATGAGGGTAAAGTCACACTTCAGGAGTTCATTTTCCATGTTAGCACTTTGCTGTTTTCTTTGAACTGCTCCATTGAGACTCCCACATCTGATGTGACAGCTGTGTATAAAAAGTCTCCCCCCCCACTCTTGAGGAACTCAGTCCACCATACACACAGGAGCTGGCTGTCATTTGAGAGTGTGCAGGACACAGGTAGCCTGAGGAGTGCCTATATCAGCTCTTCACAGCTTCATGGAGACTCTTCGCCAGCCTATTATAAAAATGGAAAAGGAATATGTGCTGGTCTCAGACTCTGTACCCGATTCTGCGTACTTGACCACCTCTTGGGACTGGAAAAATAATTCAGAGAACTACAGCCTGAGCGAAACGCCTTCGCCCCAGAGCTTGTCTCCATCTGCCTCCTACGAGTCTCCACTCTCTGGATGCTCCCGTCCGTCTAGCCTGGAGGACCTACCTTACGGAGATGACATGGTGGCCTACAGGTTGCTGCAGTACCCTGACGATGAATGTCCGCTTGACATGAAGAATGGTAAAATTGGGGGGCATGGCAGACGTGGCCAGCACGGTCTAAAAGCTTCAATGAGTGTCCAACGCAGGAGAAAGGCCAGCGAGAGGGAGAAGATGAGGATGAGGGGCATAGCTGAAGCTCTTCATACCCTGCGCAGGAATTTGCCGCCCGTCTACAGCCAGGGTAGACAACCACTTACAAAGATACAGACACTGAAATGTACCATCTCTTACATCGAGGAGCTGACCAATCTCCTGAACAGCACCAAGGGAAAATAGACAATAACTTGTGAGGAACGTGGATCAACTGTGGACCTTGACAATACAAAGTTGTACTGGTAATGGGCAAGCTTGCTGATGGGTGCTCCATGTAGTAAGCCAATAACTGACCAGTGTTATAGGACACACGGATGCTAGATGGGGGTGAGACACTCGCTGGACCTGCGATCTCCATGTGATGTCTTGATGGACCTTCATGCTCAGGACAATCATTGAACAGTGATGTTCTAATGTTGGTTGGACAATGCTATCAGTCGCCATTACAAAAGAACATCTGGACATTCTTCACCAACCACATAACCCATCATCCTAGATGAGAAATGGACCTACAAAGACCTGATAACCCTCCACCTTTTCTTGTGTCCTTCTTTTATATGTGTATAGCGGATTATTCTCTTGGCGCCGTAATGTTTGTATATAGGTAATGTTTGGATCAGCACAAAATTGCACATTGTATGTATATTTATATAAGTTTGAGAATGTTGTTTCGTAGCGAATAAATCTGCCATTATTTTAAGTTCCAGGTCTGCTTTTGGGTCAGTACTCCATCCAGGTAGAAATCTTCTCGTTCCTGTCTGCTACAGCTAATAATATGGGATGCTGTCTACACATTGAGCTGTCTATATGGATTAAAGTGAAGATCTAGCTATATGAGCCAGTCATATTCCTTGTTTTGCTCCTATAGAGCATGTTAGAGCATGAAAACGTACAAATGAATGCAGGAAATTTAATCTCCAGTATCAGAGAAAATAATGCTGAGTCATTCTTATTGTACCTTCATGGTGTCCTTTATCAGCAGTGCTCCCAATGAAGGACACCATGGACCTCAAAGTGACACTAAGCTCAACCTTAACTATTAACAAAAATGTATCTTATTTGTGTATCACTCGGCTGTAGATCCTCCAATCATCTCTGAATTGGTGCTGACACTGTCCTTCCTTCTGGAGGGTGGCTGCTTTTATTCCCCATGGCCCCTGTGTGTGTTGTAAAGTAGTCCCTGCTCCAAGCTCGCTCCTGTGATGGACTACAATCTCATGTTTAGTTTACTCATTTGTATTGAGATTGTAGTCCATCACAGGAGCGAGCTTGGAGCGGTGACTAATTCACAACACACACAGAGACCATGGGGAACAAAAGTTGCCCCCCTCCAGAAGGAAGGACAGTGTCAGCACCAATTCAGAGAGGATTGGAGGATCTACAGCCGACTGATACACAAATAAGATACATTGTTGTTAATAGGTAAGGGACTTGAATTTATTTTTAGAATGTAACTCCTGAGTTTATTGTCACTTTAATAGAATGTACAGATTGCCCTTCACTTCCTTTCCTTTTCCTTACCAAACAATGTTTTTTTTAAACTTTCCTGGAGTCACCCTTTAAGTAATCTTGGCAATTCACACCATAGTGTTGCAGTAAATGCATGGGACCCTTGTGTTTAATGCAAGCTAGAGCATTGCACTGCATGCTAGGTGGACTGGTGGATTGAGTCTTCATTCATCTGAATGGCAATCTAATGCACCTCCTGGTGTGCGTGCAATGCATGGTAATGTGCTACCGCCGGGAGGTGTGTTGGGGTGCCATTAGAATGAATGGCAGTGCAACATGCCAGTGCACCTTGCGTTCAGTGTGATAGTGTGTGCTGAGTGCACGGATCCCATGCATTTAGTGCAATGCTATGGTTTGAACGAGCCCTAAGACTTGTGTCAGCACCTCAGTGTAAGTTGGGTTACCCTTATCACCACTAATATCAGATACAGAGGTCACATCTATTATAAGCATTTATTTATAGGCTTTCTCAAGGATGTGTATGTACTCAAAGCCTAATTCCAGCCATTTTGTTTTTAGTTTTGGATAGCACTGGGTAAGTATTGGAGCCCCTATCAATTTTTATTGCTGTGTGTCCCCGCTGGGGAGATTTACCCTCGCTATTGGTCCTGGTGACCCCCTTCACCGAGACAGAAAGTGATTCTAAATTCAAAATGTTACAGCTGTCCCCAGAACAAGAAGTGAAGGTGAACATTCCAATGGGGACACCTGTATACACCACAGCTATCTAGGAGGGGGAAGTTCCTTTTCCTTTTCACTTCCTGTTTTGTCTGCGGGACAGGAAGTGAAAATCTCCCCAATGGGTCACAAACAGCAAAATATTGACTGGGGTCTCAAGAAGGGATGCGCCTATACCAATACTAGTATCGGTATCAGTGCCGATACCGAGTATTTGGGCAGGTACGCATACTCGCCCAAATGCTCCCGATGCTTATGCTGGGCGGATAGTGATTACACTCAACCTGTCACCTGGGAGCATGGCTTCCCGGCCAATCAGGAAGCCTAGGGGTGGGTAATGACTCACCCTCCGGCTTCCTGATTGGTCGGGAAGCTGGCTCTACACTCTCTCGTCACTTGGTGATGAGGGAGCATGGAGCCAGCTTCCCAGCCAATCAGGAAGCTGGACAGCAGGAAGCTGGCCAATCAGGAAGCCGGGCAGCGAGTCATTACCCACCCCCAGGCTTCCTGTCCAGAAAGCCGGCTCCATGCTTCCTTGTCACCTGGTGACAAGGTAGCATGGAGTTGGCTTCCCTGCCTATCAGGAAGATGGGGGGCATGTAATGACTCGCCACTCGGCTTCCTGATTGGTTGGGAAGCTGGCCATTCAGGAAGGTGGGAGGCGAGTCATTACCCACCCTCCGGCTTTCTGACTGGGCAGAAAGCCGCATCCATACTTCCTCGTCACCTGGTGACAGAGGAGCATTCAGCTGGCTTCCCGGCTAATCAGGAAGCCGGGCAGCATTTCACTACACGCCGCCTGGCTTCCTTAATGGGACTTTCGGTATTGGTATTTGGCATCGGCGAGTACCGGAAAAAAATATTGGTACTCGTACTCGATACCGAAAAAGAGGAATCGGCGCATCCCTAGTTTCAAATCTCCTCTATTACAATAAAAGTTTTGGCTTTTTTATTGAGGGAATTCTGGAGGCATTTCTTGTCTGAAGATGCATGCCAGTACAACTGCCTGCTGTATAATATGGGTGACGGATTAGTTGGCATGAAAGTCACTACAGGTCCACATTAAACCAGGATTAGGCAACCTTGGCACTCTAGCTGTGGTGAAACTACAAATCCTATCATTCTGCTGCCTCTGGGAGTCATGCCTGTGGGTGCCAGAGTCATGCAAAGCCTCATGGGACTTGTAGATCCACAAACATCTGCAGTGCCTAACATTGCTGCAAAGCAAATGTAGCTAAATTTTGGCCCTGCAGCTGTGGTGAAACTACAAATCCCATCATCCTGCTGCCTCTGGGAGTCATGCCTGTGGCTATCATAATCTTATCATGCCTCTTGGGACGTACACAACAGCTGGAGGACCGAAGTGTGGCAACCTCTGCTTTAAAGTCAATTTCATCTCAGGCACTAACGTTGCTTTGTCCCTGTTTCCCAACTGTGCTTTCCACTTTATTACTTGGGCTGCCGGTGAAGACTACTAGTGCTCACTTAGTTGGGCAAGGTGACAGTGTGTCTTTATTTAAAAAACAGGAAATAGACAAGGTGACAGGGTGCTTTTAAATAGACAATGGGGAAAGGACAATGTGACAGGGTCTCTTTAAATAGGTAGCGGGCAATGGATGAGGTGACATGGTCCCTTTAAATAGGCAGCGGAGAATGGACAGGGTAACGGAGTCTCTTCAAATAGGCAGCAGGGAATGGACAAAGTGACAGGGTCCCTTTAAACAGACAATAGGGAATGGACAAGGTGACAGGGTCCCTTTAAACAGACAATAGGGAATGGACAAGGTGACAGGGTATCTTTCAATAGGAAGCGGGGAATGGACGAGGTGACAGGGTCCATTTCTACAGACAATAGGGAATGGACAATGTGACAGGGTCTCTTTAATTAGGCAGCAGGGAATGGACAAGGTGACAGGGTATCTTTAAGTAGGCAATGGGGAATGGATAAAGTGAAGGGGGTCTCTTTTAACAGGCAGCGGGGAATGAACAAGTTGATGGGGTATGTTTAAATAGATAATGGGGAATGGACTACAATTCCCAGCAATACATTAGACAGCAATGCAGAATGGCCACCGGCTATAGAGGACTACAAATCCCAGCAATACATTAGACAGCAATGCAGAGTAATAGTAGTACAGTATATACATTTGGACAATCTTTGCTTATCCTGGAGTTCAGCCGTAAAGTGTTTTTGATGAATGTCGCACCTCGCAGATACTGTCCCTTGTGCTTATAACACTAGAATGTCGCTGGCTTTTAATTACACCGGCGATACATTAGCATACATGACTCTTCTGGGATCATTTAATAAAACAATAAATTCCATAATATACACATCAAAATGCTTGAAAACAAACACGTTTAATCACCGCGCTCCTTCCAGGGTTCTGACGTGGACGCGGTTTAATCACCGACTTCATTCAACATTTTTTGTGTTATCAGTTCAAGCCCAGCAGCGCTAAATCCCGTGCCGCGAATTTATCACCCCGATGTTTGTCACCGGCTTTTTTTATTATTATTTTATAATCATCCTTCCGAGGCCCGCGCCTGTTACATTTATTTATGAAGTTTAGTTGAAGTCGCAGCTACATCTGAATGCAGGACGCTCCATCAACGTGTGTCGTTTATTTAGAGTACCGAGGAATACTAGTTCTGGTTACTGGGACTGTCATGGCGGGGAGTGAAAATGTGAAAGCAGAAGAAAATAAATAAATAATAATAAATAGTATTAGAATGAAATGTTTATGTGGGAACATTTCAGTGCTTCTGTGTAAGTCCAATAGCCACAACAGGAAATACCTCCATAGTGAGGGAAATCCCTGGTGGCCACCAGGACTAGTGTCCTCATTGGAAGATTCTTGTTCTGGTGATAACCCAAAATTTGGGATTTTCTTTCACTTTCAGTGATAACGATACCTCTACATTTGGATTCACATGAGTGTCCTATATAGATGACAAGACAATAACGGGTTGATATATTGGGGTACCTATAAAGC